GGGCACAGCCCCTTTGGGAGGTTGAATGACCCTTTCATATGGTCATCTATCAGGTATCCTACATATCAGATATTTACATTATTATTCATATCAGTAGCAAAATCAGTTATGAAGTAGCAATGAAAATAATTTTATGGTTGGGGGTCACCACACACGAGGAGCTGTATTAAAGGGTGGCAGCATTAGGTAGGTTGAGGACCACTGCTCCAGATGATCACTTCTTTGAGGCTCCTACAGCATTCTGTCAATTTCACTTTCCATGTTTACCATTATTTAACCCTTTGTTGGCTCTGCTCTATGAGTCTGGAGAACTCAATGTTAGGGATTCTTACTATTTTTTGTATCTCTAGGTAAAAGCATTTGCCAGCTGAATAAAGAGGTGAAACTATGATGTCACCCAAACAGCAATGAATCTGTAGTGGAGACATGGGGCTCTAGTGTCAGCTTTGTTACTAAGTGAGTGCATGACTTTCAACATGTTCCTTCACTGATTTGGGTCTCAATTTCCTCATCTGTAAAATGAGAATAAAAATACAACCTTCTTCTCCAGGTTTATGGAGATTAAATGAGGTAACAGAGCTCACCAGCTGCTTGCCCTGTTTGTGCCCTGCCCTAGCAAAACAGCCTGGACTATTGTTCCTGTCATCTGGCTCTCATTTGCTCTGTCTCCTGGTGAGAGCCAAGCTGAAATCTGTTGCCTTGTTGAAGGGGACGTTTGTAGAAGTGACATACATATCATTCAGGTGGCCTCTGTGTTGCTAGAAGGACATATATTAAAAGAGAGGAACATGTCAGGCTACAGAGAGATGTACTCTTATATCCCTTAAAGCTGAAGGAGAACCCAAGGTGGGAGAGTGTGGCAGAACACATCTCCATCGTGTGCTGATGGGTCTAAGCTCCCTAAGCCCAGGACGTCATCAACATTTGGACAAATGCCACTTCTCTAAAGCCTTCTCATTCATCTACTGTCATAATTTTTCAGTGCCTTAGGCTGATATGATTAACTCTATCATGACTATCCAAGTGTTAAAAAAGATGAGGGGAAGTAAAGAAATTGTAAATGCCATATAAAGGAGATGATATTCAGAATGATTTTAGGTATAGCTATCTCAAGAGATGTCTATCGGTTCCCAGGTGAAATGTCTTTCTAGAAGATCTTCTAACATTGCTCTTTTTGCAATATAGAGGAAACTTTTCCATCCAAAAGCATGTGGCTTAGGGACGCCCTAGAAGCTGTTAACTGGTAATTTTTAGTGTTTTCTTTGCTTTCCGCTTATTAAGTGAATTTATTTAGCTTCATGGACTGGGTCTCAGGAGATAAGTGGTCAAGGGAAGGTGATGAGAGGGGGAAAAAGGAGATTGAGGTCAGTGGAATTCTTCCTCAAAGGCAAAAGTCAGTCCTGATGTTAAAGCTAATGACCACAGGGAAAAAGACACACTTTCATTTTGCCAAGCTTAAAAAAAATATTTTGTGTTCAGATGGCACCTTTAATCATGAATAACTTTTGGCTGAGTTCCAGGCAGATTCTGCTGGCACCGAGGACTCTGAGATCATATACTATATTCAGAGCACAGAAGTAAATTTTCATCCATTTCTATAATATAGGGGGTGGGTGGAGCATATTTGAACAGTTTCGTAACAAAACCATACCAGGGTAAAAAAAAGAACGGGCATTCTAGCTATTTGGAGTTCAGAAAGGTACTATTCTAATTATTAAGTGGCGTTTTTTTTTTCATTCTGAGTGTTTCACAATCAAGTAGCTTTTATAAATCCAATGGCAATCTCCTATTACAAATATATAAATGAAGGTAGATAGTTTTTGTGATTTACCTAAGGCTAATTTAAACTGAAGAAAGGAGGGAGGCAAAAGAAAAAAAAGCCCCTCCCAAAGTAGCAGGTTGTGACCCTGGAGTTTGAGCTCTTAAAGCTGAATTTAATCCACACTCAGGCCAAATATAATCCTCCAGTATGGAAGTGGTCCAGGACACCAGAGCTAACATTTTCTACCTTTGCCAAAGAGCCAGAGGCAGTTAAATGACAAGCAATCAGAACATTGATTCTGTTTCTTAACTGAAGGGAAAGCCAACATCATATGGTAGACACTTCCCACCAAGGTAGGGCAGTGATTTAAGCATCTGAAAGGGAATGCTCTCTTTCTGGATGTCACCGTAGCCTCTTGTGCCACCCATTTCTTGGAAGTCTATTCGACGGTCTTCTAGAGATTTGGGTCATACAATTTTTGGTGGCAAGGTTGAATCATTGCTATCTTAGGGTTACTATTGCTGTGATGAAAAACCATGATCAAAAGCAACTTGGGGATGAAAGGGTTTATTTCACTCACAGTTCTATATAATAGTTAATCATCAAAAGCAGTGAGAGCAGGAACTCAAACAGCGCAGGAGTCTTGGAGGCAGGAGCTGATGCAGAGATCTCGGAGGAGTGGTGCTTGCAGGCTTGCTCCCCCTGGCTTGCCCAGTCCTATAGAACCTATGACCACCAACCCTTCCACATCAATCAAATTAAGAATGCCCTACAGCTTTGCCAAAAGCGTGAGCTTATGAAGCCATTTCCTTAAATGAGGTTCCCTTCTCTTCCATGACTTCAGCTGTTTCAAGTTGACATAAAACTATGCAGCACACTTGGTTTATGTTGTGTATCAACCCCGGAGCATATGACTTATGTTATTTTTCACACCATCACCCTAAACCTTAGATATGGGAAAGGCCTGGGTAATTCCTCTGTACTTTAGAAACTGAAAAGCCTCACTAACTGATAAACAGTGATCCAGGCAAAAGCTGCTGTGGAACCATGAAAGCCATTATCATTTTCCATACTCTGTCTCTTGACTTTTTGTTTGGGAATGCAAAGGGACACCTGTGAGCAAACATTCACCAACTTGTACTTGACCCATTGTTCTGCCTTTTGAGTTATCAAATGTGAATACTCTTGGCACTCAGATATGGTGAAGTAGAGACTGCTGGGAAGTCAGCCGCAAATTACAGTTGATCTTCCAACATCTTCTACCTGAAGGAGCAGTTCAGGAGATTAAAATTAATGAGCCTTGCCCCAGAAAAGCTGCTCTAGCTTTTGAAATACATTTCAACTCAAGAGATAGAAGAAAGCATCTCAAGGATCCTAAAGGAATTCTTCTTGCGTGCTTTCGAAATTTGTTTCCTTTAAAGCTTAACCCTATCTGTATTTCCTGGATTATTTTTATCCCTTTACTTTGTATCTAGTCTGTACACTTTTTTTTTTTTTTTGATTTTGACTGTTTCTTGGGTCTGTCTCAATGCAGGACTTTTTGTTGTTTTCTTTTGTTTTGTTTTAGAAACAGTTTCTCTGTTTCAGTTGCCTTGGCTGTCCTGGAACTTGCTCTGCAGACCAGGCTCACACTCAGAGATTCACCTGCCTCTGTCTCCTGAGTGTTAGGACTAAAGGCGTGAGCCACCAATGCCGGCCTAACTCAAAACACTTTTAAGAAAAGCAGAACCACCTCAGTAGGATGAAAAGTGGCGACCTTTCCAGAGGCTAATCAATACTCAGGGTAGGTTTTGCTAGGGTTTAAATCAGGTTGTCAACTAAAACACAATGGGCTTTGTTGCTCTAGTGTAAAGAGGAAACAGCAGTTTTTGGCCTCCTCAGACTGTATTGTAGAGCAGGATGGCAATTCCAGGCACAGGTTAGAGCTATTCAGTGTTCCCCGGCAAGTTAATTAGCTGTTTCTGCAATGAATGGAAATGTTCAGCATTTTTATACTGAAGCTAGTCTCAGAGCTTTAAGCTTGGAGGGAGGGGACTGTGTGAGGAAGGGGGTCTGTCAGGGAACAGAAATAGCGGCTTTTTGGCGAGAGAATCCAACACCTGTGATTTATCTCAGAAATCACACACCGTAATTCCAGAAAAAAAATATGAGTACTGGAACTGGAGGGCTTGCTGAGATGCCTATTTACTTGAGCGTTGAGTTACTGTGGGTTCAAAAGTCCTTCAGCGGGAAGCAGAGTAGCGGCAAAATGACTCCCCAAGAAATGCCCAAGGTTCAGGTGCCCGTAGGGAGTTGCGGGGGGCGATGGGCGCCTTGTCTGGACAGGAAGTCATGCAAGTGGGTTTGGCGATCTTTGGGGTATCAAACGATTTAACACAGGGGTAGGGGAGGGAGCACGCAGCAAGGTGAAGAGGTTTGTGAGGAGGAACTCTGCTCTGAGACTTTCGGTGGAGCTGAAGAGTGAGCGCGCCCAGCCAAGTGACAGCACGCCCCGCTACCACCGCTCCCCTCCCCCGCGGCTAGTCTCCAGGCAGAAGAGTCTAGCGCCAGCCCGTCCTCCCCCTCGTCACTAGTCCGGGCGGACCGAGCCACAGCGGGAGCCCCGCCAGTCTCCGGGCAGCTTGAGCCCCCCGAGCGCTCGCCCAGCCTGTCAGTAACCGCCGTTTGCGCCTTCATTCTTTCTCCCCAACCCCTCCTCTTCCTCCTCTTTTCTTTTCCCCTTCTGCCTTTGTCCCGCTTAGTAACTGAAGTCCGACCAATCGCCGCCTTACCGGCCGGCGCCGGCTATCTTCTGATTGGCCCGCTGGGGGCGCGCAGCCGTCTCCGCTCCTCAGCTGGAGCAGGGCAGACAAAAGACGCAGGCTCGGGCTCCGGCAACCGCGATCAGCCAATCACCTTCTGCCCCCCTCTCCGGGCTGAGCTCGTGTGCGCCCGGCTCTGACTCCTGGCGAGCGGCCAGCGCCCGGGCTGTACCATTCTGAGTGAGCCTGGGGGTAGAGACAAAGGTTGACTAAAGAGTAGAGTCTTACACGATGACAGGGAGAGCTCAAAGTCGGCGTGAAGGACTGTCGTCGCAATTGTATCTCAGGCACTTGACAATCTTTGCATGTCAAGATGGTGCGGAGTGGGAAGGACAGTCGAGCCGCCAGCTCTTCCCCCTGCCCCGCACGGTTGGGTGGCGCCCCAGCGGGGGTGGGGAGGGCGGGCGGGGGAGGAGGTCCCCGCCCCCCTTTTAAAATGAAACTCTAGTGGTTGGAGCCCGGGCAGAGCGTGAGGGAGCCGGCGCTGGCGGGGCTACCTTTACTACCCGCGCACAGCCGTGCTGACTGGACTCTCCAGCGGGTCGCCATCCCGAAGCGGCGGAAGCTTGGGTTCCCAGCCCGACGCGAACACAGCCCGAGTCCCTGTCCCAGAGGGAATCGCTCTCTGCAGACCAGTGGGACCCCGAAACTTGAACGCAACCCCCCTTTTCAAGCCTTTGTCACTTCCCCAGCTTTCTCCCAACGCGTTCTTTTTTTTTCCTCCTCTCCCATTCTCTCTCCTCCGAAGGACACAAAAGTGGCTTCCGCTGAGATATTAGGAGGCGGCAGGGAGCTTTTTTTCCCTTTGGAGAGCGACTGTGTAGGAAGGATTTTTCGGGAGGCGGCTTTTTAACACCACTGCTCTGTGCTTTCAGAGCCTCTCTGTAACCCTCTGAGGTAAAACCCCGTAGCTTGAAAGTTCGGGGCATTTTGTTGGGTGCTGTAAGGAGAGAGGGGGAGGACCTTGTCCTCATCCCAGTAGTTGGCTGGACTTGTACTGGCCGTTGGAAAACCCCGAAGTACATTTCCGTTTGGAACTTTAGCAAATATATACATAAATATATAATTATAAATATCAGGTAAAAGATATATATGCTTTCTATATATTTCCTGACGACCTGCCCCTGACAGCGCGATGTACAATACGGTGTGGAGTATGGACCGCGATGACGCAGACTGGAGGGAGGTGATGATGCCCTATTCGACAGAACTGATATTTTATATTGAAATGGATCCTCCAGGTATTTGGGAGTAAACTTTTTATTTTTATTTTTCAGATGGGTCTGATTTGTGCTTAACAAAACCCCGGTGATGTTTTCAGGCCAGAAGTATTCTTGGGTGCGCCAGGTTCGGGATGAGGGGCTGATTGCAGTTAAAGCTGCAGTAAAACTGCTCTGGCTTATACCTTTAAAGTTTGCAGTTAGGACCCTGATCCCATTGTCCTGAGAAGGTGGGGGTGGGGTGGGGTGGGGGAGGGAGGGAAGATCAGTTTTTGGTTTTGCCTTTGCATGTCATTCACGGCCCTCCACTTTTTTTTTTTTTTTTTTAATTTAAGATTTCTACCTGCAAGAGATGTTTTATAAACCATGCACGAAGACAGTCTTTCCCTTTGTGGGAATTCCTTAAAGCTTATACCTTAATGCAGTTGCCCGATTTGGTTTGTTGTATTTTACCTTGGTTAACTTCAGAAACTGAGTTGCCTTTGTGATTATTCATTTTAAGACTCTGTGTTTCTCTCATAGAAACCAAACGCCGGTTAGTGATTTTCAGGGATTGGGCGGTCTTATTCATTCATGGCCTTAGTCTGAGGTTCTTTTCCGTCTATGCATATAGTCTCTTAGGTCTGCATGCAGTATTTTATTACTCGTCAATTAATTTGTGGTGATTTAACTTAATTTGAGTGTCAGAATTGATATAATTTTGACTCTTAAAAATAGAACCTTTCTCTTTACTGTGAATGGACTATATACATATATGTGACAGGTTTCTGTATGTGTACATGTGAGATGTATATATAAATATATTTTTATTTGAGAGCTTTGAGGCCACTAGAGATATTTTGTGTCTCTGATAGGGAAGGAAAAAGGAAGGGAAATGAAAAACTTTTGTTATTTAAAGTATGCCTTATTTTATGTTATAGCTGTCAGATATTCAAACCTTTGCAGTTACCGACAGTGCTTTATGTAATGATTTTGAATAAGCAGAGGGCCTTTGTGATTCCTTGTGTTTATTGAGGATGAATTCGCTGTCTTTTTAAAATGGGTTATAGTTAAGCCTACAGAATAATGTTTGTCATTAGGGAACCTTGCTTATTATAAGAATGTATTTTTGGAAACATTTAAAAAGAATGAAGTCCATGAAAGTATAATGAATAAATGTCTTGTAGAAGGTATGTACTAATTATTTCTTGTGTCCTTGTGAATGGAGAATTATCTTCTTTAAAAATTAGTGATAGTGTTACATGATGCCTTGAAAACTAATACTACTATTGAATCACCTTTTTGAAAACTCTTAATTATCACCAAGAATTTTTCTCTTTTCCTTTGTTTTAGAACCGCCTTGGTTTACTTCTGTGGTTGTGGTTGTGATCCACTTGCAGCTTTTCTGTGTTTTGTAAAGTTTCCTAAGATTTGCCACCCATCCATTGTGTTTTCCCCTTTGTTTCCCCAATGGTAAAGCATTGCTTCTGTTAGATACATTTATCATTCATGTGTTCAGAAATCCAGTATACCACCGGTGTCTCTCCCGTAACAAGTAAATAATGCTATATATCTGTATTTATAAAAATGATAAATGCACATTGCCTTAGGATCATGCTGGATCATACAGTAATCTTGCCTTCCATAGATACAAAGGGGATTTGTTGGGTGGGGGAGTTGAGTAGGGAGAACGGTAGAAAATGAAGAAGGCACTAATGATTGAAAAAACTCAATGTTATAGAAAAATATTGGCCAAGTTGAGTTGAATATATGATTTATTTATTTATTTTTGAGATTGAATCTCGCAGTATAGCTCAGATTAGTCTGTAACTCTGTGGTGGAGACTGGTCTCTCAAACTTGCATTCCTTCTGTCTCATCGTCTGAAGTACTGAGATTACAGGCATGTACCACTGTGTTTGGGCCAGAAATTATTTTTTGGAAAGCTATTATAATTATGCAAAGATGTGGGATTTAATATGATTGAGTAGAAAATTCTGACCCAAAGTTTATTTTCATAGAAATAAACTTTTGAGTTTTAAGATGTTTATCCTTGAGTGAAATTCTATATACTAAATATTCAGAACACTGAAAATCCGTTCATATTATCTTTTGTTTTGCATCCTTACTGAAGAATATGTTTGTTAGCCAGGCAGTGGTGGCGCATGCTTTTAGTCCCAGCACTTGGGAGGCAGAGGCAGGCAGATCTCTGTGAGTTCGAGACCAGCCTGGTCTACAAGAGCTAGTTCCAAGACAGTCTCCAAAGTCACAGAGAAACCCTGTCTCGAAAAACCAGAAAAAAAAATCCTCACTCAATTATTGTCATTTAAACAATGATATTGTAATGTGAAATAAATGATATAAAGATATACCAATTTTTAATATTTCATATATTGTAGTTTATCCAACTCTGGTTCATTAGAAGTGTGGTAACTCTCCCATTTGATAATGCTTTTTAAACTTCTCATCACTGTTTTGATACTAGTTTTACATTTTTTCCTAAATTGTAAAAATGCTGAACTATCTTTTTATGGTTTTTGTATTTAACAAGATAGTTAGAAAAAGAATTACAGGGTTGGGAATGTGACTTAGTTGTTAGAGCGCTCAGTGTATAAGTCCTAGATTCTATGTCTAGCAGTGCATTACGTTGGGAGTACCTCCAGCTCTTAGGAGGAAGAGGCTGGAGGACTGATCAGAAATTTAGGGGCATCCTCAGCTACATATTGAATTGGAGGCCAGCCTGGGATACATATTTGATTACTCTGTTACAAAAATTTAATAAATGGGGCCTGGCGTTGGTGGCAAATGCCTTTAATCCCAGCACCTGGGAGGCAGAGGCAGGTGGATCTCTGTGAGTTTGAGGCCAGCCTGGTCTCCAGAGCGAGTGCTAGGATAGGCTCCAAAGCTTCACAGAGAAACCCTGTCTTGAAAAACAACAAAACAAAACAAAACAAAACAAAAATAATAAATGAATAAAAAAAGGAATTACAGATATATTTGTGACATGATGTATTTTTTTGTTTTAAAAAAAATACAGCTTGTGTAGAAAGAATTCAAATAGATGATATCAACTAAAACCAGCATTGCTTCTTTTTTGTATATGTAAATTGCTGAATGTGTATATATGTGTATAGGTGCACGTGAACACATGTACATGTTGGGGCCAGAAGTAGATACTGTTTTCCTTCTTATCTTTTGAGACAGGGTCTCTCACTGAACCTGGAATTCAGTGATTGGTTATACTGGCTGGCCAGTGAACTCCGAGGATCCCCCTGTCTTTGTATACTCTGCCCTAGAGTTATAGATGTACCTGGCTTTTTATGTGGGTTCTGGGGTTGAGAACTAAGATTCTAAGGCTTGCAGGCAAACCACTTTACCTACTGAGCCATCTCCTCAGCCCCATATTATTGTAGACTCAGTATGGCTTTATGTTTCCTTTGTACTATTTCTTTTAGCCAAATAGCTATCCTTATAAAGCAGATACTTTGTTTCACTTTATGAAGGATACCTAGGCTCACAGCAAGTAAGAAAGTGGGCGTGACTGCCTTGCTCTAAAGTCCAGTCTTTTTTTTCCAGACAGGGTTTCTCTGTGGCTTTGGAGACTGTCCCAGAACTTGCTTTGTAGACCAGGCTAGCTTCGAACTCACAGAGATCCACCGGCCTCTGCCTCCCGAGTGCTGGGACTAAAGGCATATGCCACCAACGACTGCCAAGTCCAGACTTTAAACCAGCACCTGGTACTGGGTTCTGTGGTTTTTATTTCTTTTTTCTCTTCCTTGTAAATTTATCCTGAATTCTGCATCTAGGTTGATCCCACCAAAACGTTGTTTTCACTATGTTGCTATTTTATTAACAAAAACTGACAGTTTATTACTTTTAAACTAGGCATGGCTGATCTTTAGTAATACAGTGTCAGTTTACACCTTTACTGCTAATCTGCCAACTCTCTTCTAGCTGGATTCCTTGTAGCCTAATAGCCTGGGTATATCTTTTTGTTCCTATCCCCAAGCTTTTGCTCATACTGCTTCTGTGTAGTGCATACTGAGTACCTTCACACCTGCATCTTCAAAGCATGATCCTGGGCTAGATATCTTTCCTTTTTAAACTTTCTAGGGCTGGAGAGGTGGCTCAGTGGTTAAGAGCACTGGCTCTTCTTCCAGAGGCCCTGGGTTCAATTCCTAGCACCCATATGGCAGCTCACAGCTGTCTGTAACTCCAGGGGATCTGATACCTTCATGCACATAAAATAAAATAAAAACTTTCTAATTTTAGAGATTCTAGAACTGTGTTTTTGTTTTGTTTTTGTTTTTCAAGATAGGGTTTCTCTGTGTAGCTTTGGAGCCTATCCTGGCACTCTCTCTGGAGACCAGGCTGGCCTCAAACTCACCGAGATCTGCCTGCCTCTGCCTCCCGGGTGCTGGGATTAAAGGAGTGTGCCACCAACGTCCGGCTCGAACTGTGTTTTTTTTCATGTATGTCTGTAGCTTTACATTCAGGAAATATAATTTCATATAACTTCATTTATTTCTCTAACAATGTAAACTACAACTTTTTTATTTCTTTATATTTATCTGTTAGAGACAGTCTCACTGTGTAGTTGTAGCCTGGAACTCCCTTATGTAGACTAGAATGGCCTTGAACTCATAGCTGTCCTCCAGTTTTTACCTTCTGAGTGCTGGGATCAAAGGTTTGTACCACCAACCACATCCAGCTGGATACTGTAAACTTCTCTGTGTGGCTCATTTCATCTTCCTCTTTTCTTTTTGGTGTGAGTATGTGTGTGTGTGTGTGTCTGTGTTTTTGCTGTGGATGTGTACATGTTTGTGCATGTGTATGCATATCTGTGTGTCTGGTAGACTGTAGCAGCTGACATTGGGTGTGTTCCTAGTTCACTTCCCTTCCCTCTTTCCTTCATTGTTTGTTATTCCTGCCTTCCTTGAGGCAAAGTCTCTTAATGATCTGAGAGCTCACCGGTTGGGTGGACATGTGCTTCCCTGGGCGGGGGTGGGAGGTGGGGGTTGGTTTACAGAGTTAAACTGTTGCA